CTAGACACGAAATACGACTCATTCGAGAAGGGGGCATGCAGCGTCAAGGGAGGAGAGAAATCGGTGGCGAGGTAGCAAAAGGTGTAATAACAATGCGCTTTCATTAACTAAAGCCACGTGCTGGACCATCGATCTTTGTTGTCTTTATTGTCTTTTGCAGGCCGCTCTCTGCTGATGCTGAAAGCGAATTCCAACTGGGTGTGATGATTGCTTGAATCAATATGTAACATGCAGAAGAGAATCTCTATTGGTGGATCCATAAGCAGATATAGCTCTCTGATAATTTGGCTGTCGATCTAGCTAGACAGTCTACTCGATTACTAATTCTCATATTCCAAATATCGATAAATATCGATTTTGCGAGTTTGCTGTGAAATAATGCCAATGGATATACTAATAAATGTAACAAAAGCAGAATCGACTAAATGTAAAATTCAGTACATAAAAATATCTAAATTGGATTATATCGATAAATATCGATTTGCAGTTTTTGCTGTGAAATAATGTCTATGAATATAATAATAAATGTAACAAGAGCAGAATCGTATAAATGTAAAATTCAGTACATAAAAATATCTAAATTGGATTATATCGATAAATATCGATTTGGCGAGTTTGCTCTAAAATAATGCCTATGAATATAATAATAAATGTAACAAGAGCAGAATAAAATAAATGTAAAAGTAGGCACATAAAAATATCCCAAATATCGATTTGTAGTCTTTGCTGTAAAATAATGCCTATGGATAAGATATTACATGTAACAAGAGCAGAATCGAATAAATGTTAAATTCAGCACATAAAAATTTCCAAATAGTTTATGGGCGAGGTATTTTATGCGGGGCGGGGGCCTTAGGGCAGATATTCACGTGTTTTTTGTTTTACTTAATTTTGTTTTGGAATTTATTTTTGCATTTTTATTGAAGCTTACGTAAAGTAAATGGAGACATGGACATGAAGTGCAAACTGAGCTGGGGCTTAAGCTGCGAATTGGAATTGGACCAGAGCAGAGTTAACAACAGGCAACAAGCTACAACAGCAGCAGCAGCAGCAGCAGCAACAGCAAGGAAAACAACAACAATAATAACAAGCAACAACAATTGTTGTGCAATTTATCTTTATTTAATTGAACTTTTACTTTCGTCTCTTCGTCTTGTTGGCTGAACGCGTTTCATAAATTGCAAATCAACTTGTAAAGTGGAGGGAGAAGGAGCAAAAAAAACAAGAGTTTATAAATATTCACATACACACACACACACACAGACGCACACACATGCTTGTGTGTGTGTCTGCATGCTAATCCGTTAAATCAATTGATGTGCGCCGCGGGCGCTTATAAAAATCGATATAAATTATTAATTCAAAACAATGCAAAGCAAAGTCAACAAAAAACAGTTATTGAGGGTGCTCGAGATACCCTGCAAATATCGAATACTCCCTAGACATAAAATATATCAAAGCGATTTCACATACACTCTAGCTTCTATCTATATGAAAGCCTCAAGCGGGCAACAAAATATTCTTGCTCTGATTATTTTGAATTTGTATTTCAAGACACGCATACTCCTTCTTTTACTCATATACTCTATAATATTATACTCTAATATACTCTCCATACCTTCATATTCTTAGAATTCGTAGAATCTAACTTTGCTAATTATATACTCTTATATGCTTATTCTTATATTCAATGAACATTATACTATCATACTCTAATACTCTACTAGTATAATACTCTACCAGTTCAAGCCTTCATTCATCGAAATGAACGGACATAAAGAAACGTTAGCCCGTTTCTTGACTACGCCTTCTTCTCTCAGTCATTAACAGAAGCTAGTATACCCTTCCATTGCAACATTTACAGGGTATACGAACGGACAGATATGGGGAGGAAGGCAGAGAGAAACGACGTGCATGCCGGCATCAACAAGCGGAAAAGAAAAGTTTAAGAAAAGTACCGAAAAAAAAGTAAAGGAAAAAAACAAGTTTAATTTGATTTTTTTTTCTTTGTGAATATTAATTGACAAAACGAGTCGCTTGGTTCAATTGGCCTTTAATTGTGCTGATGCTGGACTGGATACAAAACTGATTATGAGATCATTTTCCAGTCTTAAATGCGATAATTTTTGAGATTAAAGAGACACACAATTCCACAACGACGACGACGACCAACGATGAAAAGTGAATTGACATTCAAGTTTGCGCTCCAAGTCTTTTGTCTGGTGGTCTTGGATCCAATTTATAATGGGCAGCTTATTATTAAAGATTATCTCATTAAATGCCTCAAAGCCTCACTCATTTATCATTAAGTAGAACATTGTTAAAGGCACAAATATTGACAGCTGTTGGGGTGCAACCGACAGGTTTATAGCCAGCATGAAAAGAGCTGGACTATATGGAAGATATATGTGTACAGGAAAGAAGTCGCTCTTGTCGAAACTTAAAGCTATTAATATTGAATGACAGACCTTGCAAAAAGTAGATAAAAGCGATATAGTTTTTGCAAAACTTAAAGTTCTCCTGGAAGTCCTAAAGCTGTATTGGATAAAAAGATAAAATAAAAGTTTCATAGAAAGAAATTTCTTTTAAAGAAATCCTCAGGTCATAGACAACTAACAGTATAGATTAAGCAAAAGCTAACGCGAATAACCAAAGAACATGGAACTCATATAGAGAGAGTATCTTCTAGTCAATGCACTGTGGTTTCAAAGGCCAAATGAGTTTGACTTCAGCTTCGACTTCTTATAGACTCTGTGTCATAGTCTGTCGCTAGCTAACAAACACGTCAAGGCCTTTGACAGTAGTTGCCCTGAAACGCAGGCGCAATTAATCATAGCCAAGCGCAGCTAATGATACCACAGATGCGAAATGCCCCAAGAAAGTTCACGCCATGGAGCTCTGTCAAAAAATGCTGTTATATATGGTGTATGTTAACAGTTATGCGCGCAAGCAGGATGTAGAGCTGGCTACTCCAGAGGAGCTGCAGAAGAAGGTCAGCTGTTGGGCAGCTTAACAAATGGGCCGCTGATTGCTGCCAGCTTCTAGACGTACAATTTATATGCCTGCAAGGCTGGCGCTGTAGTGGAGGAGGCAGAAGAGCGAGAGAGAGGAGAGAGAGAGATGGGAGGCGACATAGCATAAGGTGTGATAACAATGCGCTTTCATTAACTGAAGTCACGTGCTTGACCATCGATCTTTGCTGCTGTTCGCATGCAGCTCTCGCATGAAAGTGAATTCAAGGCGGGTCTGATGATTCCTTGCATCAATATGCAACGGGCAGAATTTGGCAACCTTTGTTGATCCACTGAGATCTTGTTTGTGTCACAATTTATTTCAATCTCAGTTGATCCATTATTTTTTTGATATTTATTTTAGAGGGTATCAGTTAGTCGCCTATATACCTTAAGCTGCAGCTATACAACGCCTGCCCTTAGCTGTAGCTGCAACAAGAAACAAAAAAAGTTCGCCTTGCCACCTGCAACAATTTCAAGGTGTCGATAATGCTGCTGCTGCTGCTGATGATGATGATGATGATGATGATGATGATGATGATCATGCTTATAAAGAAGCAGCAGAAGCGGCAAGAGTAGAAAGCCTAAAACTGCTGATAAAGCAGAAGATGATGCAGTTGAAGGTGACGCTGCAGAAGATGTCAATAATGATAATGATAATGATAATGATGATGATGATCAGTCCGATAAAAGGGCTGACAAAGATGAAGATGTTGATCAGCCAGATGCTGGCGCTGCTGCTGATGAGCTGCGGCTGATAATGATCTGGCTGATAATGAAGTAGGCGGCTAGCGTAGAAAGCCAAAGCCAAGTCAAGTGTCTTGACCCTCATTAATTCAAGTAAGCCGCAAGTCGAATTCGCAAAGCCAAAGCCAAAGCCAAAGCCAAAGCCAAAACCAAAACAGAAACGGTTTCAGTTTCGGTTTCAGTTTTGGGAGTTGGTGGCGAACCATTTTTCTTGACCGGCTGCGCAATTAACATACGTAATTTATTTAAATTCAATTTTTGTCTTTTTCTTTTTCTGGCTTGGCTCTTTTTTTCTCATTTTGATTTCATTTGGCTTCTTGGCGGCGGTGTTTTCACTTTCGTTCGGCATCCGAAAATTCCAAGCATCCGGCCAAGTGTTGGCAACCAGTTTTTCGTTTTCTGTGCGCGGAGCCCCCAGGCCTGGCTTGGCCTGGCCTGGCCTGACTGACTGCCCGCTTACCACGATTATTGTGATTATTGGCCCGGGCTAAAAAAAAAAAAAAATAAAATAACCAAAACCAAAACCAAACACACACACATAGAGATTGAAAACGAAAGTGAAAATGTTTTTTCAAAAGGCGACAAATAAGAAAAAAAAGCGCCAAGAAAGCAAAACAAAGCAGAAGATTGCATAGATCGCTGAATGCTGTAAATTAAGTTGGCGATTTCTTCTACGAGTTGCTGCTGGTTGGGTGAAATCTTTAAGCTACACCTGCCCATGCTATTGCTGCCACAGCTGCTGCTGCTGCTGCTGCTGCTTCTTCTTCTCTTTACACTTCCATTCTCCGTTGCCAATTTTCATGTGCTCCTCTCGTATCGAAACTTTTACCCAGCTGCTTGACCCCACAGTCAACTGGCTGCCCACTAGATATTGGCATTCCAATCAATCACAGTTTTATGCGCCATCAAAAAAGCTTCGATTTAGCCCATGGAAACTACGCTCAATATTATTTGGTAATATCTTCACATACCGATGGTTGCCAAAGTGGAGTCTGCCTCCAGCTCGTAGAGATAAGAGATGGAGAGACCACTCAACATATTTTATAGCTAATGCTCTGAGAAGTATCTATAGCAAATTTTCATGCAACATGGAAAATTATTGATATTTTCTTTCGCATTTAAGTAGGCTGTGCAAAAAATCCTATATCTCAACGCAGAGAACAAAAAATATTCAGTCTGAATCGACTATTCGTCTAGAGCACATTGTGAGCTTTTCAAAAAAAAAAAAAAAAATAATAATTATAGTAAAAGTATAAAAAAAAAATAATTTTGTTTTGTGCGGTTTTCGGAAATAAAAGCTAAAAGTAATTCGAACAAAATGCGTCCATCACCGATTAACTACAGCAATTCTTCGCGCATTGAGCGTCAGCGCATGCGTACCATATTGAGGGGACTCAGGCTGTCGAAGAGAGTTCGACGCGCCTTGCGGAACTTCTTGAAGGAGCTGGTAACGCTTCAGATTGTCATCAGCGATTTTCAGATGTTATCTAACCAATTGAGTGCACAGACCGACTAGCTCTAATTTTATCACGAAATATACACATTTACACTGAAAAAAAAAACATAATTCAGACAGGTAAGATTGACTCGCAAACTATTGCAGTTCATTAATTTTGACACATAGCTCGTGCTCTCTCTAGGCTTTTCAGTGTTCACATAAAAATTGCATACAGAAAGAAATATCGACAATTTTCAGATGTCAGCTGACTAATTAAATATAACGAAAATACTATAACGAAATACGCACTTTTGCAATAATTTACACAGAACAAAAAACTCTTCACATAGTTCAGACAGGTAAGTTTGATTCGCAAATTACTTCAGTTCAATCACTTTAACACATAACTCGTACTCTCTCCAGTTTTTTCCGTAACCACTTTAAAATTGCTAAATTAACTATTTTCAAGCATCTCTGGCGAAAAAAACTTAAGTACAGAAAAACAGATCGACAATTTTTTAGAGGATTAGATTAGTTAGTGGAGAGACCATTCAACATATTTTAAAGCTGATGCTCTGAGAAGTATCAAGAGCAAATTTTATGCTTTGACTTCACTGCGAGCTGCTCATACAAACGACAATTCGCACAACAAATTATCAACATAGTAACTATTGGGTATATGTCATAAAAATATCGATAACAATTTTGATGCAACATGCAAACTTATTGATATTTTCCTTCGCATCCAAGTGGGCTCTGAAAAAATTCCTATATCCCAGCGCAGAGAATAAAAAATATTCAGTCTGAATCGACTACTCGTCTAGAGCACATTGTGAGCTTGTGAAATAAAAGGAAAAAATAATAAGTAAAAATATAAAAATAAAAAAAAAAAAAATAATTTTTTTTCGTGCGGTTTTCGGAAATAAAAGCTAAAAGTAATTCGAACAAAATGCGTCCATCACCGTTTAACTACAACAATTCTTCGCGCATGGAGCGTTCGCGTGGCACGTTCGGGGGAGTCAGGCTGTCGAAGAAGGCTCGTCGCGCTTTGCAGAACTTCTTGAAGGAGCTGGTAGCGCTTCAGATTGTCATCGACAATTTTCAGATGTTATCTAACCACTTGGAGGAGGAGAGCGCCGATTAGTTCTTATTCTATAAAGAAATACACGCTTTTGCTACAATTTACACCGAAAAAAAAAACTCTTCAGGCAGGTAAGTTTGATTCGCAAATTATTTCTGTTCATTCCTTGTGACACATAGCTCGTGCTCTCTCTAGCATTTTCGTGGCCACGTGAAAATTACAAAATTCAGCTTCGTCGGCAAAAAAACAAGCTTAAATACAGAAAAAATATAGACAATTTTCAGATGTCAGCTGACTAATCGAATATTGAGGAAGATTACACACAATTTACACCGAGAAAAGAACTTTTCGCATAGTTCAAGTAGGTAAGTTTAATTTGCAAATTATTTTAGTTCATTCATTTTGACACATAACTCGTACTCTCTCCAGATTTTCCGTGGCCACTTTAAAGTTACGAGCTTAATCGTTTTAAGCATCTTTGACAAGCACAAACTTAAACACAGAAAAAAAGATTGACAATTTTCAGATGTCAGCTGACATTGAATACAAATGAAGACTTGTTCTAATTCTACAACGAAAAACACACTTTTGCTACCTTTTACACCGCGAAAAGAACTTTTCACATAGTTCAGGCAGGTAAGTTCGATTCGCAAATCATTTCAGTTCATTTATTTTTAAACATTTCTCGTACTCTCTCCAGCTTTTTCCGTGGCCACTTTAAAATTGCGAAATTAACCGTTTTCAAGCATCTCGGCCCCAAGAAACTAACTTAAGTACAGAAAAAACACGATGTTTGCCGCTTGCTCAGCAAATACGCTTGACACTGAGATTACCAATTCAAGAACACGAGGAGAGCACTAGGCAAAAGTCACGGCTGCTTATCAACACTTGTTCAAATAAATGTTCGAAAAATTAAAAACAGAAACAAAACAGAGCAGAACAACACAACACAGAACAAGAGCAGAACAATTCATAAAACAATAAAGAATGAGTTAAAGATACACAAAATATCTGTTATCGCATTTTTTTGTAGACTTTCACTCCAGCTGCTGCGCAGATGTCGCGCCTTTGGCTACAATTTCGAGAAGAGTGATCTGGTGTAGGAGAGCCCGAGTAGAAGATACCCAAATACAATAATCATATACCTACATTACAAGCAAGAGTGCTCGACTATTCCGCTATTCCACAGATAAAAAGCAGCGCACTCTGCTCACTGCGCAGTTGACGCAACGACTGACCTTGAGCTGCGTTGGGCTCTACTCTAGGAACCTCAATGCTGAATAACTTTAGATCTAGACGGAGTTTCCTAATGAAATGGCAATGGCATCTGTCTTCTAGTTGAAATGTTCGTAAGAGGAATCTGAACTTCAGTTATCTAAAAATCAAGATATCAATTCATAGCTGCAGTAAGTGCAGGATGATACTACCAGGAAGAAAATGGAAATACGCTTACTACGTATGATAAGCAGGCATACAAATAATGCAGTCAGGTAGCTCTGCGAGTGCCTGACTTCAATGAATCAAGATAATTAGTGTTGCATGAGCTGTTGCTCACAATAAGAGATAAGGAAAATGCAACTTTGTCTGATATGGTTTATGGGGTCGCATATATCGCAAGACATTTTCCAGAGCATATAAAAATTGAGTACCCCATGGACGACTGTCAAGTCGCGTAGGTGGTCCACGAGTCGAGTGGGGTGAGGCGGTGCGACATAAAGTAGCAATGATTAAGTATGTTTAACAAAACTTGCAGCATGCAAATCACAGTCAGGAAATTATTATTACAACTTTTTAACAGCGCTGTCAAATTCACCGTTTTTTCTCTTTCTCTCTCTGCTTTGCTTCACTCCATGTTGAGCATGGAAGCAAACAGGGTATGTTGATTAGATTGAAGACTGTCAACAGTTGACTAGGCTCTGTGTTAGCTATAACCCAAATCTTTACATATATATATATATAGTCTATAGCCTAGAGAGACATCTTCTAATCAAAGGAAATCTATATAAAATGTTATTTTATATAATTGAGTCGGGCAATCCGGAATTGACAGCTTAAGCTAAGGCAACTCCCAAGCATCTCATTTGTCAAATATTTATACACAATATAATATTTTGCCTTCTATACACATTTGCCCCTTAGCAGTCAGCTACGTGAAGCGCCTCCAGGGTAGCCTCTAGTTGTTCATACTCACTTGCTATCGAGACTTGAGTTTTTCGAGCTTTTGACTTTGTTTTTTGCTTTGCTTTGCTTTTCAATTCATTAGGCTTACATATGGCTTCCGTATTTGGCACCCAACGAGTTGGTCAACGTTTTACAATATGGGTCAGAGCTATGCCATAATTGGAGGATTTTACAGCTATAAGTATATATATATATATACGATTGCCAACTGAGCTAACTGTTTTTATGGCTCAAGTAAGAAATAAATACAATTGCGCCGCCTTGCGAAACAAATGCTTAAAGTCTCGGCAAGTGCTTAAAGAGAACTTGAAATAATTCCTTTCGAGCTTTATCAAACATCTAAGCATATCGGAAAGTCTAATATATTGCTTGAGGAAGCATTTTCATTTGGCATTGGCGGTTAGTTTTTGCTTACAAAGTGAAAAACCGCAGCGACCACGAGGCGTATGCGTAATGCTAGCTAAATGCGCATTTTAATGGGAGCTAACTACCCACATACATACATATATACCGATACATATATACCGATATAAAAGGTTTATCTTATTTTCTACATATTCCCGTTTGTGACAGCTTTCAAAGGAAGCAGGGCTGAAGTAGCGCTGGAGTAGTTCGATTCAACTAAACTGCATATGTTATCGACAGCCTATCGACTCATATTATATAGCCACTAAGGCAAGGTAACATTTTACACCCAATGCCAAAATACTGAAGACGTAAACGTTTCTGCCACACTCTTAATAATATGCTATCGATATGTATCATCGATAACTCTTCACATAATAAAAGGTGATAAAATCCCATAACATTTATTCCCTTCTGCTGACATCAACTAATCAAACTTATTCGCTATCAGTCTTCTAGACAAATTCCAGCAAAACTCCCGTTGCAGACGTCATCTGACGTAAACGTTCCATATATATACCTAAATATATACCCAAGTTGTTTCTCATTAAGAAACTTCTTTCTTAATATGGATATATATATTAAATATAGCTGGCTAAGCTGTTAACATAATCATAAATCAACTTGTAATCAAACGAGTTGCCTTTGCTTAGCTTTACTTTAGTTAGCCATTAAAGCACTTTATAAACCAACTTCCTAGTGCTTAAAAGTTGATATATTAGCTGACATGGCTGACATTTTTAGGGGCGAGTACATAAACAACATTGTTTACTTAAAGCCCCCCCTACGCACTTGACACCTGTGAGGCCAATTAAACTGCATTTATCGCACTCACATTTCAAATGCAGAGCATTAATGAAGCATGAATTACCTTGACTGACTGACTGATTGAATGACTGCCTGGTTGACCAAGTGACTGATGGACTGCGTGCCGTATTGACTACTTAATGGCTTATTGCGAATTGAGAGCAATTGTTTCGTAAATGAAGATTAGGAGAATGAAATATTGTGGTAGTGATTGATGACTGAAGATTGATTAATAAACGAGTGATTGACAAACTGAATTTGATGGTTGACTTATTACTTGATGAGCTTAAAGATAAGTGATTGATAAGCCAATTGACTGATTGTTGAACAATAGATTGATTTGATGACTGGCTGACTGATGGGCTAGCTGATTCTGTGACTGATTAAATGCAGGAATGATTACTGATTGACTTGACTCAGACATTGTTTGTCTGATGAATTAGAGACGGTCGGAACCGACCGGAACCGACCGACTGACTTACTGACTGATTGAGCAACTGATTGATTGATTTATTCAGTGACTGATTGATTACTGACTGACTAGCTGGCTCGGTATAATCAATTGCCTGATTGAGCAACTGATGGCCTTGATTGTACTTACTGATTGACTGATTGATTAAGTTACTGCTGTCTGGCTAACAGAATAACTAACTTGATGGACCAATAATAATAACCAGTCAAGCGGACTGGCTAGCCAACGGTGATCATTTGACGATTGCCTGACAACATATAGATAAGACTGATTGACCGACTGACTGACTGCATTGACTGGTTGATGAGCCAACTGCAAGCACTTGTCGTCCACTTCAGCTAGTGCAGCACAATCTCTTTGCCAGCTGAGGTGCTCAACTGTGTTGAAGAAGTTTAAGAGGCAAACAGGTTTTCATCTGACATGGCTTAGCCGATTTTCAGATATTCACAATTTGCACAGATACTAGTTGCGCTTAATTCAATAAATTTTGATGGTTTATTCCGTGACTCTGGCTGCACACATTAACGGCATTTGCAAATGAACCGTTTTCGACCACACACATACGCACACACACTCGCGTTTGTTGTCTCAGTCTTTCGTTCTGTGACGTCAACTACCGCAAGCTGCGCTAGAATTCAAATGCCGTAATCACAGCCCCTCCCACCACTTGCTCCCCCCTATCAATTAGCTTAGTCGTCTGCCTGCCTGCCTGGCTTTCTCTCCTGTGAGGGTTTTCGGTTGCATAAAAGCTTGAATCGCCAACTGGTTGCATTTGATTCCTGAATGCATCGTGACGTCAGCTTCTGATTACCTAGTCTGGCCAGCTTGCTGGCTATTCTAAACAGTTGCTGCCATTGCCAGTGATTGGCATTGACCCATAGGCAATAGCCTAGCAGCATTTCATAAACTGATTTGATTTATATTTATACCCCATTTGTGGAATTCGCAAACTACAAAGATTTTCCACTACAAAAAATGTGATTTCAAGTTTAAATCTTCGATTTATATTGTTCAATTTTGAAGCGAATATCGAAGCATACTTCTACTCAAAATAAATTATCGATATGCTTAGTCTGATATGACTTATTGATAAGAAGTTCTTAGGGCTCACTGACAACTGAAGAAACGCGCGCTTGCTCTTCGTATAACTCCAATCTTCAGATATTTATGTTATCGATAACTTATCGAGCATACGTCGGCTGCTTAGACAAAACTTTATGCTCGATTTTGCCATTGTTATAGTAAGTGCTAATTATTCCAAGCCCGAACTCAATGCAACTATGTTATCGATAACATATCGAATTCACATTGCTAGCCTTTTGAAGCCACTCTACGCTCACTCCTAACCCATTTGCAGCAATTACTCATTGAAAATAGTGAAGAAATGGGATTCTTGTTTAACCAACACATTCGATATGCGTGAATGTGCTCGATAACTTATCGAGCGTGAGCATTTTGATCAATTGGGCAACTCTCACCTCGCAAATATTTATTAATTATTGCAGCGGCAACAAAAGCAACAACAGCAACAGCAGCAACACAGCTCCGGCTGCATTAAATTGTTGTTTGTGCTCGTCGTTTATTATGCGGTGCGCAGCATTTCAACAGACATTTTCAATTGCGGCTCATTGAAGTAGCCAAATAGACAGACAGAGAGAGAGAGAGAGGGAGAGGTGAGAAAGAGAGAGCGAGAGAGATAGACAAATCGTTAGACCAAGCACTTAATTTGAAGCGCATTTCACTTTCATTTTTGTGTCTGTGTTGGGCAGCAAATCAAAATTTGAATGTTTCCATTTCAATTTCAATTTACAATTTATTGATGAGCAGCATTGAATGCAAATGCTAAAATGCTGTAGTGCTAAAAACAAAGCGAAAGCAAAACTTTTGCAGAATCTTAAAACGTTTCAATTAAGAATTGAATTGAGCTGAAGTAAAAGTTAATTCCAAATTTACTCATTCGAATTGAAATGAGTCAAGTGAATCAATTTCGAACATTAACGTCTTGACGAAGCCAAATGGGATGATGCTTTTCGTGACTTTACTTAATAACGTTTCACATCAAATTAAAGCAACAAGCTTTTAATTCAAACCTTTTAGTGGCTTAAAACTTAAATTTGCTAAACTGAGAATTAGTCAAACATGTAGGATAGGGATAGTCCGTACAATGGTGATGGGAACGTATATCTATAAGAGTTAACCGATTTATGGAGTTGGTCAAAAAGACTTTTGTTGTTGATTGAGTAGATTATTTCCTATTTGCCTGCTAAGCTACATGCAGTTGATATAAGTCTACTCTACCTTAGTAGGTCTTTATTCCTCGAAATCTATATACACGCTCATCACTTGATGAAGCATATCACGTTCATTTTTCTTTGATCTAGAAAAATCTCAGATTTGGAGATTAAAGTCATATCTTATCTTATCTTGTTTATTCCAAATATAAAATTGCGTTAGACCGAAGAAATTTTATCTACATATATATATTGTTAGTTCAGCTTCAATATATTGAAACATTTTTACTCGAATAAACTTATAGAAAAAACATTTTAAAATTTGTTTGGTAATATTGTGGATTGATCAACTTTTCATCTCCCCAGAGATTTTTTGTTTTTTCCCAAAGAAACCTATAGAAAGACTACGTTAAGCTAAGACTGCGAAGATATAAACATATCTGATGGAGACTAATTTCTAATTTTGAAACGATCGAAATATATGTTATTATTATAT